TTCTCTCGTCTCTGTCTCTCTCTCTCTCTCTCTCTCTTCTCCCTTTCTGGTGCCCTAGTACAATAAACTATATGTTGTCTCTATCCTGTTCTTTTAATTAGATAAACCTGTTTATAGATGCATCCATATCCTATGATGTAATGTCATCCATATGTCCTCTTTGTTTGGTTCACTTAGCAATTGTGCTACCAATGTTCAAATGAAATGCTGTTTTGTCTTTCTCCTTTTTTTTTCCTATTCGGCAGATGCATTTGTTGTCCGGTGCCCTAGTACAATAAACTATATGTTGTCTCTATCCTGTTCTTTTAATTAGATAAACCTGTTTATAGATGCATCCATATCCTATGATGTAATGTCATCCATATGTCCTCTTTGTTTGGTTCACTTAGCAATTGTGCTACCAATGTTCAAATGAAATGCTGTTTTGTCTTTCTCCTTTTTTTTCTTATTCGGCAGATGCATTTGTTGTCCTTGGAATAACTTTGTCGTTCCAAACAGAGTAATGCTCTTAGGCATATTTGTTGAGTACATGTTAACACTTGCATGATGATAAGAGCACAGAAAATGACAGGTTGTAGTAAATAGAAATACTCTATTGTTTTAGCCATTTAAGAATGGAATTATCTGTCTTTGTTGGGACATCCGGGTTGGTTAGTGCAATGTTGCATAAGTGACAGGTCTCAAGTTTGAGTCCACGTGTGAGCATCATATATGTTGTTAGATGTAATAAAGATTTCTTCCAATTTTTGTTTTAAAAAAAGAATGGAATTATCTCTATTTGGACTGGTCAGAACTTTTTTATTTCTTGGTCACTTAAAACTTTGTGTTATATTAAAAGATACCAAATTGGATGTATTCTTGGATTGCTAACAATACATAATCTTCGCTGGCTAAAATTTTAAGTGGATATGTGAACCAACTTGAATTTCTAATGGCATTCATGAAAACTGTATTTTCAATTTTTCAGATGCATGAGTGTGGCGTATATGTCAGATGCTTTACACTTGAGGGGAAAATTGCAAGATTAGAAGTTATGGGGTCCAAGGCAATAAAAATAATAAAGAAGATTCTACATCCTATATCCCAGTAAGTTTTTGTTGCCACTGACATAGAGTTTTGAATCTATCAATTATTTATCAATTTAATCTTTGCAATGAGTACAGTACGTCGTACATTCTTTGCAGGTCATGTAGTAGTGCAGATAATTCTCTATTATATCAATCAAGTCTTACACCTTGCAGCAACTCACAAGTTCAGAAATCTATTCTCCTTTGCCATGCGGAGAAACTTCCCTCCTATGCAATTTTATCTTTAAAAGTTCATGATCCACGAGATTTGCCATCTAGCAGAACTGAAGTTACAGATAACGAGCTTTCTACCATCCTTGAGGGTTATTTTCAGGGAGAAGATTCATTGTGGTCAAGACCTGAAACCAATGGCATTTTCCTCTCTGATAGTATAAGTTTGTGGGATTGCAGCAATAACTTAAATCCTCCTGTTCCAGAAAGCATTATTTGCAAAGAGAAGCATGATAGGCGCTTAAAGGACTTCTACCTTGAGCCTTCCACTCATGCAGGTGCTCAACTGAAGTAAAAGATGGTCCAAGCTGAACCTGCTTTATTTTGCTTCTTAAGCATGCTGACTATGGTAGCTTCTGTATGGGGTGAGATTCTACCTTACTATCATTTTCCTGCTATGGTAATCATATCATCCTTATCTAGATGATGTCCGTGACAGACGCATGCTATTTTATTTTCTCTTACACAATGTTGTATCTATATGTGCTTTTTTCAAAATAACCCTTGTCCTTTGCCTTTTTCTGAAGGTTGTTTTGCTTGTGGTATTAACTTTTAGTGGCCAATTCATTACTAAATTTCAGATCTCTGGCAGGTGGTCTATTATCCTACCACTCAGTTGGGTTAAGACATTTTGGACTTTGTTGGTTTCGCATGGGTGTCATGCAATTGACTTGAGAGAGAGGCGGTGGGTTGCATCAAATGTAAGTGAATGATATGCATTTGCTTAGGATTCTTGGTAATATTGATAATAAGAATAAGCTGGCTTTTCATACTTGCAACAAATAAAAGGGATTCAAGTTATTACTTGAGTTTGATGCAGATGTTCACTCAAGGTTAGAATCATGGAAATAGCCACTTTGCTTGCAGGGGTAGGGTTGCGTGCATTTACCTTTTGAAACTCTGCACTGAAGGGAACCTTGTGCACCAGGCTTGCCCTTTTTTAATGTTTCTATCAGCCTGAAGCAAACGTTAGTATATTGTGCAGCATTTGTCGTTTTAATTGTCACAAATTTGATCTTTTTTTTTTCTCATAACAATTCTCAATCTCTTTTTCCTTCCATTTCAGCTAGAGAAGTTCTTTATCAAAGTTTTGCTCACTCTGTTTTATCAACACAATCTTGGCCACCACCTAGTCCTTTCTACATTCATTCGGATATATTTATGCTCACTATTATCATTTTTTTAATATCTAGTTTTCCTCAGTTTTAACTTTGTGACCGAGTATGATAAGATCTCTCTTGTTGCAGAGTGGCTTACCATCTTCTCCATTTGATTTTCCTGATTGCACAGCATACTCATCTTTCATGGCTGATGAAGCTGCTACATTGGATACTGCATCTGAGCTCCATCCTCTTGCGGTGAGACCTTCAAGAGTTCCAATACCTTCCCCATGGAATAGCATAGTATCTACAGTTATTAAAGGACCAAACATCTTAAGAGGTTTTATGACGATGGATGCTCAGACTTCTTCTGGAATAATTCCTGAAAATTCCATTTTAAATGTGGACTCCAAAGATAAAGCTTCATCACCTGAGCGTCAAGCCGCTGTAGTATTTCCAGATTTTATAGCAAGAACATCCAAAGTCTTGGACTGGTATTTGAAAAAGATTGGTTGCAGAAACTTGCTTTCATTACCTGACGTACAAATAGCGGAAAACAGTACACTTGATTGGGTCAAAATTAGTGCCAATGTGTTGCATGCTTGACAGCAAACTTTGCTTTGTGAGACTTATGCTTCATGCATATAAGAAGGGTGTTTTTGAAGATGGGGCAATCGTTGTGAACCAAATTTGACAGACCTATCACGATGGACATCCAGGTTCATATAACCAAAAAGCTCCCTCTTTTCGTTCTAATGCTAATTACTTGGAAAGTTATTATTTTTGGTGCAAAATCACCAGTATCACTAGTGACAATTTCAGACTTGGAAATTCATGGTATTGTTCATGATTTAATGAATGCTCCCATATTGTCTACCATAAAAGGTTCTCTATCCTGTAGAATTTTCTGTTATTTGTTGAATGTTATCATGCTGATCTTGGTGACACTTCCAGCCAATCTATATCTTCTTCTCTGGACCCAATGTAGAAATTGGAAATCAGATGCCCTGCATCCAAATATGTGAGCCTACACATTTGAAATGCATGTGATTATAAAAGTTCTGCAATTCTTATGCAACAACTTAAACAGTCCTTTGCTTTCATTCTTCAGTTATCTTGTCCTATATGTTTACTTGTATGAAAATTTGATAATCACCAATTTCACAGGATAAAACATGTAGTTCCAGAGCAGCAACATTTGTTGCAGCAAGTATTTCAGTTCTCATGCATCTTTTACGAGACTGGTTACTCTTTACTTTTTATTAATCTGTGGAGATCATGTGTTGTTGATCTTTTTGCCAGTTAAGATGTAAAAATAATTGATGAGATTCTCAGTTTGATGGAAATTATGTTTGAGATGCATCACACGCCTATTCGTGAAACAAATTTACCCTGTCTTATCTTATTTGCAAGAAATAGTTCTGAGTCTGTTTTTTGCTAATTTGCTGTTGGTTTTGTTTTCCATACTGTGGTGTCAGTTAACTAATATGACTGCTTACATCAACAATTAATTGCATGATCTTTCAGAACTTCCAAGCATAATCCATTAACAGGCCCTCCTTATAAAACATCATCTTTTCCTTATAAAATAGAAATACTTCTCTTACTGCGTACAGATTTCACTGATAATATTATGCTACTAGAATATGAAAATTATTTCTTTCATGGTTGCTTTATCCTGTGATTTACTCTATCATGGTTCCCTCCTTGACACCGTACAATAGGAGATACAGATATGACTGCTGATATGTTTGATTCCAGGATAGTCTATTGGATTAGATTGTTTAATTGTGAATAACAATTTTGTTATAGAGATTTGTCGTACCAATTTCCGTTTCAGTTGTGTTGGGTCTGCTTGTTTTCAGGTTTTGGCCGCCGGTTGCTGATGCCGCCCGGAAAGGACTCAACATGGGGTCTTCTTCGCTACTCTCAGCAGCTTGAATACCTTGGAGAAGTATTCTTCCACCTCCCTTCCGTTCTCTCTCTCTCTTGCTCTCTTCCTTGTTCGTTATTTAAATTTACTACTTCTTGTGATGATACGGACCGGTATTTGAATTGATAAGACAAACTCGTGCTATTAGTGTATCTTAGCAAAGATAAGATACACTATTAGTCATTGATTCTTCTAGATGATCCTTATTAGTGTATCTTAGTAAAGATCCCTTGGTATGGAACCTTCTGATATTCGAGGAAGTTCTATATTTCATTCCATCTTTGTAATTTTATTCTAAATGCATTCCCCTTTGCATCTGAGTTGGAATTCATAACTGGGAATTTTTCTAGACTAATACTCGGACCGGTTCTTTTAATCGAGCATCATCAAGTTGAGGTTTCATATCAATCTGATTCTTTTGTTCTGCACTTTTCTACTAATGTTCAATATGAAATGTAATTGTTCACCCCCCCCTCGTGCACCTTCTGATTGATTCAAGCGGCAGAGACACTTCACACTTCTTCGCTCGTGGGTCCGACGGCATTAGGTCGAACTCGAGGGTGGGGGGGTGTGTGACGTCCTGCGTCCAGTTGTTCGAATCGCATCTGGTTGATATATGATCACTAGAAATGGGTTCAGGTGAAAGCGAGGCGGGCCATTAAATAATCAATTATATCCCTTCCCCTCCGACCCGTCACTTGGGAGCGACGCGACAAGTCATTTTGTTATTATTCCCTGGCAATAATCCTCTCTTTTCTTCTTTTTGTTTTTGCAGAAAAGCCCCTCAAGTTTTAGGTAATTTTGTCTTCCGCTTTCTCGTCTTTTTCTTTTGCCCTGTATCCCCAAGCAGCGCCCGACGCCCACTTTGCTCCCTCGTCCTCCTACCCAGGGATGGAAACCCTAGAGGCCACCGAGCCCATGTCCGGCGAGTCGCCGACCCAACCCCAAAGCTCGGGTTCCCCCCAACCGCCACTGGCTCCATCCGAGCGGCGACTCCTCGAATCTACGTATCTTGCGGACGCTGCTGCAGACGGCGCCTCCGTCGCGGCGAACTTGGCGCCGGTAACCCCCTCCGGAACCGAAGCTAAGGATGATGTGGATGCGTATTTTGGCAACGGGGGATTGGGTCTAGGATCGGTTACCGGCGAGGCACTGGAAGGAATCCCTATCGCCGTCGGCGATCTCGTGTGGGGGAAGACCAAGAACCATCCCTGGTGGCCGGCGCTGGTTTCCGATCCCTCCCGCGCGCCCATCGATGCCAAGAAGGCCCACCTGAGCGACGTCTCCCTCCTGCTGGTCTACTGCTTCGGCAGCGGTGCCTTCGCCTGGTGCGAGCCAGCCCAGCTGAAGCCCTTCGTCGAGGACTTCCATCGCATGACGAGGCAGAGCAGCTCTAAGAGCTTCGTCGCAGCCGTCGAGGGCGCCTTGGATGAGATCAGGCGCCGCCTCCAGTTGGAGCTCACTTGCGGCTGTGTTCCGCCGGAGGCCGGAGGGAAGACTGCTGAATGCCCAGCCGGGAGGCTTCCGATCTCGAACTTTCAGCCTTTGGAGTTCCTCGAGCATCTCCAAGACGTGGCTTGTGACGTTACGATGGCCGATGTGTTACAAGTTGCAGCTTTGAGAAGTTGGGTGATCGCTTTCGCC